AAGCTGAATGGAATGAGGGGTGGGGAGGGGAAGGGAGCTGAATGGAACGAGAAATCGTTCCATTCAGCTCCCCTCCCCTCCCCTCCATTTCCCTTAAACCAAACATGCTATTAATGAATTAACATGTAAGGAAGATTTATTAAGCGTATTTGAACAATTTCACAAGTAGTCCTGGCATTTTAAGTGCCAAGAAATCCTGATTTTTACTTTTCTCTTTTCCTTATTTCAAATAGGTTAGTTGGAAATTGAACTAATTAAACAAAACAATAACATGGAACTTCTCACAAAACCAAGCCATTATGAATATTAAGAATCATGATTGAGCAAAATGGATAGACAAAATAGGAATAAAATTCTGGTCAGAAGCAACCAATCTCTAGGTTATCACCAGAGAAACGCTTCTACAAAAGGCATCCTTCTGAAGCTAGATCAGATTGCCAAAGAGATCACATATGTACCTCTTCAATAACCACCAGATATTTCTTCAAAGAGGATGCCTTACGGAGCACATCAATGTCTGATTTGGCTAAGCAGCATCATCCCAGAACAGAGACACCGAAACTTTTAAACATTATGTATGCAACATATTCAACAACTGGACCATATCAACAATACTTGGACAGAAATTTAGAATTCAAGGATTAGAAAAAGCACCCGCATCATAAAAATGTACCTAATCTAGGACTTGGATATATTTGATTGTATTGAAATTCAGCAGATACCCACCATTAGTTTCTGCATTCTTAAGCTCCACCAACTACCTTGGAAATTAACATCCATAAGAAAGTGATTGTCACGTAAATTTAATGAGTAATTGAAGCTGAATAGATAGGCATAGACAAAGTTACAAAGAAATCAAATTATTCAAAATGAGACTCAGTAAACTTCCAAGTAGCAACAAACATACCGAAAATTCTAACTGCCACACCAAATACAGGGTCAATTTCTTATTTACTTTTTATAAAATTAACACTCAACTAGACAATACAACAGCAACAAACTAGGGTGAATAGTCTGCTTAGCAATTCACTCAAATTCTCCTTTTAAAAAAGGGTTTTCCTCTTCTTGTTCTCATGCATTTTCTCAATTAACAAATTGTGCTAAATTTTGAAGCAAAAAATGGCTCAAGAGAGTAAAACATCTGATGTAGGAAACCCTATTTAGCTTTAAGAAAGAAAAAAATTGAGTATGAAAAACAGAAAACATTCAGCTTAACCTAAACTCTGCCTTATGCTTCGAGTAAGTAACTTAACTTACCATCTGGTGAAGAAGAAAGTGCTATCAAATTTTAACAATCCTGCAATCAAAATAATCACCATGAAACAAGTTAAAATCTAAGGAATGAAATTCCTTGTTTGATTGAAGCAAAAAAAATAAAAAAATAAAAAGGAGAGAAAAAGAAAAATCCTTTGTGTCCCTGCAGATGGGGGAGAAGCAAAAACTGGATAAATGACTCAGTTTTTCGTACTTTTTTACTTTCAAACTAAGAATGAGGTTGAACTCCTGTTTTGATATTATTTTCCTGAGGTTTCCCAGAAACCAAACAGATAATAATGCAAAAGAAAGGAGAGAATACTAAAATCTCCAGCAGAAGAGAGGAACCTGATCGCCGATTCAAAAATTCGGGACATCTTTACTACAGGAACTGCGATAGGGTTTTGGGGGGTAAATGAGGGCGTACGATCTATCTGTTTTAGAACTTGTTTTCAAGATTTGCATATCAAAATCCGTTGTCGTCCAGCGGTTAGGATATCTGGCTTTCACCCAGGAGACCCGGGTTCGATTCCCGGCAACGGAATTTGTTTTGCATTTTTCTTTTTATTTTTTTTTTAACAATTTACAAATTTGGGGGATTAGGAAAGGAGATTTTTCCAAAATATTGATGAGATTTGAAATCTCAATTAACTAATTCACGTTAAGGTTTTGGGACGAATCGTTTGGATTCAAAAGTTTGATTCTTTTGTTTTGTTAATTTGACATTCCAATTTCCATAAAATAGTCTAGGCGTCCTTTTATTAATTTAATCATGCATTTGCAATTCTTAGTTACTACTAAATCATACATATTTGAATCAATTTTAGTGACCTAATAATTCTCATCCTGAGTATAAGAACTTAATACTATTAAACTAGTGCTGCTAATATCTTTTTCCCTCAAAATTTTCCGAGTTCAAAGGGAAAACCATACCCTTTTTTTTTTTGGTTCCTTTTCCTAGAAAACTATGTTTTCGTAAAAGTAAACTTATGTTAAAATTGTGTAAGGTAAAAGTTAAAGACTTCAGTGTTTTTGTAGTCTAATACAATTTAAATTGCTAAACACTTTTTTAAAGTTAGAATCATGCCAATAAGTCAAATCTATAATCTTCCCAGCATACAATTACAAGCTCACCAAAAGATTTTCACAAGCATTCATAATGTGGCTATACAGTAGTAATGAATGGTACAGAAATGCATGCCAAAATTTAGAGACCATGACAGATAAATGAAAGACAGCAGTAAACTCCAGGAACTGGTATTAAAATTTTAAATGGAGCAGCCAGAGGGGATACTGCTAACTCAACTTCAGGCATGAAGATATGTTACTTGAGCGGCTTGTGCAGTTGCACCTTTAGCATGATAGATTCATTTTCCAATTCCCAATTCTTTTGAGATCTCTCTTGTCAAGCTGAATTGTGAAGTGTGGTGCCATGGAAATAGGGTCCGAGTAACAGGGAGTTTCCTCCTCAGATCCTGCAATATAATCAAATGAATTTCAGAGTTTTGGCTGTTATTTGAGTGTCATGACATCTTTTCAATTATCATTGGAAGAACATGGTGATGCTTCTTTTTATGTGAATGAACATATTAGACATACGAAAGAAGATGGCGTCTGAAATGACAATGTATGGTATTAGGTTTTAATGAGCAAGGGTAATACTCATAAATATGCCACAGATGCGGTCTACCAACAAGATGGTTTTATTGGAAATATAAAAGTCAACTGTGTTTCTTAAAGCAGTTTAGACAGAAAATAATATAGTTGGAAGGCTTTTCCACAGTTTTCCAACGAGAAACCTTTTCAAAGTAAAGGAAGTACCTTGAAAGTAGCATCTGGCAATTTTGAATAGGATTCCTGCATGTACGCTGACAATCAGTATAGAAACCTGGAAAGGTCAGGCATATATAAAATTAAAAGACATTGTTCTAACCTGAAGAGATGCCAGGTACTCTGTCTCATGTTGACGAACAATATTGGCTATTGTAAGTGCAGAGTCATCAGGAGACTGTTGCCAATAGAACAGAGATCAACAAAATGAATTGATTGTGAAAGAATGAAAAAGCAATGAGAGGTGATACATGGATGTATAAGAATTAAATTTCCAATTTATGAAATGAAAGGAAAGGAAACAAGAGAAAGTAAAATGATATTGAAAATGTCACTCGTGTCAAAACCTGAAATATTGTACTGTCTCTACATTCATGCTTTGCTTCTAGCTGTACATTTCCCTCTTCAAAATAGTGTGCACCCACCTGAGGAAGAAGCAGGGTAAGACAAAAGAAACTGAAAATGAAAAGAAAGTAATAGAAAGAACTGATTTATTTCAGGTTCACATAGCCCATGCAGTCTATCATACACCAGTGTTATGTAGGGTACCTGCAGTTTGCCTTTTACTTCCAGCATTTGTTCATCATCTCTGAACTCAATGTTCCATATTGAGCGCCAATTTCCATTGCTATTCAACAAGAAAAGAGCATTATTAGAGGATGAATTACTACCTGATACCTACTTGTTTCAAAAGTTAACTAAGATCAAGGTCCATGAACAGGTAATGAAACACCAGCAAGTCATCTGACAACATACCAAAAATTCTGTGGGCTATGTCTAGCAGCAGAAATCACCACAACAAGCTCAAAATTAGATCCTGGTTCCTCAACATCTTTTCCATTAGTACAGTAAACTGAACAGAAACCTTTTGGATAAGCTTCAGCAACATACTTGAGCATTTCTGCTTCCAGAGCACATCTGCCACAGAAACAGTGGATTTAATTACTTACTCTGTACTTGTACATAAAGGTTATTAATTTCTCACTTGCTCTTATTCTGTCCATAAACTCCATTTATTTTTCTTGGATGGTTATAAGAACTGATGAGGATAATTCAAAATGAAATAAAGATTAACAGCATCAGTGTGAACCACTCTGCTCAGCAACAACAATATGATAAGATAGCAACATAATGGTCTTTCAGACACATCCAATAGAATTGGTATTTAACATTTTTCCATACTTGTTTCTGGTGGTGGTAAACAACTATTTTTCCTAAAGCAGTCCCCAAATGAATTCAAAAGGGTGCCAGGACCAGGGAGATACTCTTGGAAAACCACTACCAAAAAGAGATAAAAATAGACCTACACATATAACTGCTGAATCTTGGAAGAGGTTCTAACACATACCGAAATTCCTCAATGTATGGCGATGGAAGTTCCTCGTCAGTTGCAGGTCTCGCCTCTTTACAAACCTGAACAAATTTAGCACATCATAACATAAACATCCAACTCTAACTGGTAATACGCTGCAAATCGCAATAACAATTTCTCCCTTCTTATATTAAGAATTTAAAACGTGCAGAATGCTTTATGAAAATTACCTGTTTGACATGGTCAACAATAGCCACCTGGGCAGTCCTGGGATCAAGGAACTCATTCTTATCAAGTTCACCATATGATGTAATCAGCACCTATACCCAGTCAGAGAGAGATTACAAAAATGAGTTTTGTTCTGCCAGCAAATCAAGTAAAATGGCCATCTAAATAAAGGATGCTGTATTCATATTTTTTATCTAATTATTAAGAATAGAGGACCAATAAGACAAACTTAATTATAAAATAGGCACTGCGTGCAGACCAAATCCTGCTACACAAATTTAATTTTCTAAAATTAAAGGCCAATTAGAGTAGCCAGCTTAACCCACAGCTAGCCAAACATTTAACTTGAACCAGTGCAAACACCAACAGTAATACCCAAAAGCCTCTAAAGCATATAAAAATGGCACATGGAAATGCTATATAGTCCTATCACGATACTTATCCAACTGAGATGGACTCGATTTCAGTAAATTTAATCTAACTCCACCTCACAGATTGAGACAAAAAAAAATCATCAACCTTAAAGCCTAAAATTTCTTCTCAGAGGCAAAACTGATGTTCATAGGTGGGAAGAGCAAAAATTCAAAAAGTATGCTAATGCTATAACTATAAGCCTATGTAAACAGTAATCACAAACTAAGGCACGTTAAATACATTAATCCAACTACAACAAGTCGAATGCCTGAGGCACAGAACCTAAAAGACCAAGTATGCACAAGCTAATTAACTAATCTCCCATAAAATACAGCACTGATATATCCAATATATCAATCTAATTCGCATAAAGCCACGAGTTAAGCCATAGTGTATCTAAGCTAAAATCTCTCATGCGCAAAAAAAATAGAGCTTTGATACATAATTCAGAGACTTACATCCCCAGCTCTACAAGGCATTTCAAGGCGAATCATGTGTGTTTTGTTGTAAATAGGAAACGCCTCCGAAGCCGCCTCGTTGTACACATCATCATCGTTCAAAACCTTCTTCAAATCTGCAAAACCTCACAAATCGAAAACCAACTTTGATCGATCCGAAGTAGTAAATTTCAAAAGAAAGAGAAAAGAACCGATTCAAATCGGCCAAAACAGTAGAAAGAGGCCACAAAATCGATCGATCCGAAGGAGAAAAACGCAATGCCAACAGTAACCGCAAAACCGAAAACAACAAGTTTTAAACGAAACTAATTGACAGAGAGAGGCACCTTTGGCAACGTATTGGATTTCACCGGCGGGAGAGTTGAGGAGAAACCATTTAGCAATGTCTTTCTTTTGCTCCCCGTTGAGCTCTGGTTCTTCTTCCGCCATAGCTCTCTCTCTCTCTATATATATATATATCTCTTTCAGCCGGTCGTTCTCCGGCGAAATGCGGCTGCCTCTGTTTGGAAGGATATGGAAAGAGAGAAAGAAAAGGAAACGCAGAGAGAGAGAAAGAGAGAGACTAATGATCTGGAAAAAGCCTTCTGGTGCGCGACAGCGCGAGAGTCGACAATCGAAATCATTTCTGTTGGTGGCATTTCGTGCAAGTTTATACGGTGTCGTTTCTATTACGATTGGTTCATTTCAGACGCCATCTGTTTGGTTGATAAAAAAATATCTGCTTCTTCTCATAATCTTCTTCCGCGGCCGAAAACGAGAGGAACTAATAAATTCGACTGGTACGATATAAGATAAAAAAATAAAATAAAAATTATTTGTTATTATATAATCAATCAAAATAATATATATTTATCTTTATTTTAATTTTAATTTCATAATAATTAATAACAATTTAAATAGTTAAATTCATCTCTTTTCATTAGAAATAAAAAATTTTAAATTCGAATCGAATAACATACGGTGTGTAAGATAAAAAAATGAGAAATGATTATTTCTTATTATACAATCAAGATAAAAAAAATTATAATAATTAAATTCAGAAAAGTGATCTCTATAGTCTGCCTTCTAATTTTAATTTCAGAAAATAATTTACAGGTAATTTTTTATATTATTTTTTATAAAAGGTTAACAAATATTTTATCTTTTTATATAATATTATATATGATTTAAATGATTAATTTTTTATTTATTTAAAATTAATAATATTAAATTTATCCTAATATATAAATAAATAAAAAATTATTTCTATGTCGCCATCCTTTTAATTTCATAACCGGAATTGGAAAAGTGACATGTAGTCTGCTGACTGTACATCTTATTACAATTGATGGAAGGTGGTTTTTTTTTTTTTATCGTGAAATAGGTTTTTTTATTAATAATTATAAAATATGTAATTTATGTATAATAATTTATAAAATTAATAATTTAATTAGATTTTTTTATTTATAGTTATATTTTAATTTCATTAAGAGATATGAAATCTGCTTTTAAATTTTTATATCATGAAATTATCTTAGATTAATTTGAATTTTATTTATTTTTGATGTGATTTGAAAATTAATTATGAATTTTTAAATGTAATAACTTTAGTCAACCTTCTTTTTATTTTTTAACACATCTCATTTATGTGTTATATAACTTAAATTTAAAATTTTTTTAAAACAAAAATTATCATTAAATTACTTAAATATTAAGCTTCTCATATCACGTGAATTTTCATCTTCCTCTTGGACACTTATTGGGAAGCTACAGGTTCCTCCTAAGATGTGGTTCCATAACGCTTTCCTGTTCGGAAACTTTCATGGCTTATACCGTGATATTCTAGAGGAAATTGCCTGCAACTGCATATGTTGGTATGTGTGGAAGAAGCTATTGCCTTGTTGGATGGGTTAACTTCTAAGCAAGTGGGTCTCATGGGCCCCATCAGGTGAAAAGCTATAGCTTTGTGAATGGCGTTGCATTGGGATTGGGGTGTACAAAAAGTTGTATTTAAATAAGATAACAATATTTATAATATGTTTAGGAGAGTTTTTTAAAATTTTTATTTTTTTTTATTGGTTATAAGTGATAAATTTAAATTTTTATCAAAGAAAAAACTTCAAAGTTATTTTTAGAAATAAAAAAAAAATGAATAAAACAAATTTATAAAAAGTAAAAGTTTGAAACTTTTTAAAATTTACTATTTAAGATCTTGTTAAGATTAAAAAAAATTAAAAAATGTAAGTTTTTAAAAGAAAAATTTTAACTTATAAAACATAAATAATATTAAAAAACTAAAACATTTACAAACTTTACCAAACATACTTTTATTAAGAGTTTTAAATCATAATCTAGTTCCTCCTTGAAAAGTGGTGTCCTCTGTATATGATATCTGTAATTTGTATGCCTTTTTCTAAATCTGTAATTTGTATGCCTTTTTCTAACTCTTGTATGTTTGTTTATGCTCCAAAATCAGTAAATAGGGTAGCTGACTTGCTGGATAAAATGACATTGTTTGCTAAATGCCCATATTTTTGGGCCCCTTGCCCTCTTGATCATCTAAAGGCATTGCTGCGCATGGACTCCATAAAATAGTTTTAACATGTTTTGGTTTAGGTCAAAAATACTAAAAAAGGATACAATAGCCCGCACTAAAGACAAACATTTTTAGCTGAAATTTGACCCTAATCGGCAAACAATTTAAGTTTTTGACTCATTAATAATAGAAGTGAAGTATTCTAAAACTATATGGTTTCAATACAACTTATTAGACCTCTATGTCAATAGAATTATCCATAAAAATGATCATTCAAGACTGGCTCTATCTTGAGCTGAGAAAATAAAATGATTTACTGGCAACAACACATTACAGAAGGATTAAGTTGGTATCTATCTAGCTAAGAAAGTGATTTCCATAGATTAAGAATCCTTTGTCCAAAGAAATAATGAGAAACGAATTTCCTCACAACAACGCATTACAGAAGGAACGATGTTCAATGAACTTGAAATGTCGTCCAAAGACAATATTTGTTATTGGGTTGCTTAAAAGTAATATTAACAAATTTAGCAGAAGCCTGATCCTGATCTATATATGGGTATACAGAATCAAATACATAAACCAAGGGCATATGAAAACATTCTTACATTGAGCATTCTGCTATTCTGTTGTGATGTAGTCAAGGCTCTCCATTGATGCGTGAAGGTCCTACAAGCAAATTTAACTTCCATCACAGGATCATTGTTAAGTTATCCTTTATATCTCTCTTCTCTACATGACTCCCTGCATCAGAAATTGCATTATCAGTTTTTAAATACTAGGCACAATCCCAAAGAGTCTGGAGGGCTGACACGGTCCGCAGTGATTAACTGCAACATAATGAACAACAAATGATAATGCCATAAAGCCCCCCAATAATAGCAACCCTATAGTATTCAAGGAGTAAACACATGATCTCACATGTTTTACCCAGTGGTGCACGTGTGCACGTTATGTTGTGAGGGGAAGGAGAAAAACAAAAGGCTAGGACTAGAATAAAGATGTTAGTTTAGGTCATGGTTGGTTTGATTGATGGCATGCATTGACTACTCCTTGGTCAAGGCATAAAAATAACTAAAAATAAAGAAGAGTACTACAAAAGGAAAGAATAAGGTGGGAATAGGATTACTTATTTTCCATTAAATTAGGAATAAGTTAGGAAGGTAATCATGGCTATTCCTACCATATTCCCTGAGTTAACAGTCTCATCCTCCTTGTTAAAAACTATTCCAGACTTCCTTATTTTGCCTTATTTTCATGCTTTGACCAAGCAATAGCCATTTCATCAAGCCAAACATGACCATGTTATAATGCTTTCCATTGGCCTTTGCTATCTTGGAGGAAGAGAGAGAGAGAGAGAGAAAGCATGGTCTCACCTTCTAATCCTTTTCAAATATTGCAGCTAGAGAAAGCACCCAAAATAATTTTCATGCCAGTAAGCCAAATTGATAAACAATTACATTCAAGGAATGGTGCAGAAGTGCTTTGGCTCCCAGTCCCACTATTGAAAACCTTGGAAGAACCATTTCCTTCCAAACAAATGATATGAAATAAACTTTTCACTACCCTGCCAGGCTAATGTTTCTATCAAGTTCACTTACAATGACAAGCATCTGATGCCCAGAAACTAATTCCCATGTACAATTTCAAAGCTAGGATCATCAGCCAAGACATCAGGCTCAATTTCTGCCTTCAATTTTTCTTGGCCACGCCAAAGAATCTGGATCAAGTATTCTCACATTAGAAAATAAACATATGTAGCATACTGGAATGATTTATGAAATTACCAATATTTGGATTGTATGGCAGCACTCACCGTGTCAATAACCCCAAATTCCCTAGCTCTCACAGCATCCATATAAAACCGTCTTTTCATTTTATTGGCTACAGTCTCTACCGACTAATGAAAGATCAAGTGACTGAATTAGTTACTTAATCTTTCCATACTTCATATGTAAAACAGAAAAAGGAAAAGTTCCAGAAGATCAAGTGATTGAATTAGTTTCACACTTACGTTTCCAGTGTGCTTTGCCAGAAGTTCCACGAGAGTGTCTCTGTTAGTTATTATCTGCAAAGGAAGCAATGGGAAACTTGAAGAAATGCAAATTATAACTCAGCATTATAGGTTGTGAATAAACTGCTAACCTAGACCACTGGATGCTTGATTACATTAATGTTGTAAACAAAAATGAGTTCAACGAACCTCTTTGGCATGAATAAGAACATCACTAGCTTGCATCAAACCAGATGATGGAACACGAGGCTGATGGATTGCAGCTGAAATAGATATAAATGGGCATTGGATAAGATATGAAGCATTGAAGCATCAAAAACTTAGGATTGTTGCTTCAACAAGGCCATTGCAACGCACCTGTTGCATGTGGGAGCATAGACCTTTTACCCTTGGTCCCTGCAGCAAGTAGTAGACAAGACTGCCCGACAGCAGCTCCAATACAAACTGTACGAATCTGTAGTAACAACAATTACCATGTGTGAAGGAACACCAAGGATGGAAGGAATAACAAGAGCACATTCTCATTCAAAACAAAAGTCATCATGAATTAAAGACACCCTATGGCCAAAAAAGTGAAATTGAAGACAACCAGAAAATAATTTCATTTCCCTCAATCTTAACTGAAGGTTGGACCAAAAAAAAAAAAAGGGGTTGTAACTGAAGTGCCAGAGGAAAATAAGAGAGTAATAACAATTTCAGTCACCACAACTGCCACTAACTCCTTATTGCAAGGTCACTTTACCAACCACATTATATCACATTATCATCATTATCAACCTGTCAACTTCATGTCTTGTTAAGAGCCATAACATTCTTCTTTTTTTCTCTAACTATCTTACTATGAACAAAAACAAAAATATCACAAATATGCAAGCTCGAGATCTTTAAAGAAAGAAAACTTGCCTCATTTTTTACGTGCATCAATGAATCATAGATGGCAAAACCATCTGTCTCCCTCCCAACCTGAATAGTACACATATTGGAGACTAATATAAGGGGAAATAATTTCAATTAAAATATTTAACAGGTAAATGCAATGATAAATTATAAAAGTAATCTGATGACTAATTAAACACATAATCCATAATAATTCAGATTGTCTCTAAATTCTCAAAATCAGATGTTATCAATATGCTCAAGCTTTCTGGTTTAGAAATGCTCAATCTCAACCAGGTATTTATTCCAAAAAAACATATCCATTGATATACCAATTTCATATTTTACCTTTTTCATATTGAATACATGTTTCCTCTCTCTTTCTTGCCTCCTTTATAATTTTGGTCCTTCTTACCCTCTTTGGCAGTCAGATGACTCAGATCAAAATCTTCCTTTATACTTTTTTTTTTTTTCTCTGGTTAAAGCTGGAGATCTAATAGTCCTTTATACTTGAAAGTACCTATAACTTTCTAGCTCATTTTCAATGTTTATATGTGTATAAAACACAAAAGCTGGAGCTCTAATAGTCATTTCAAGGGTAGTTAAAGTATGGTCTGTGGGATTTTGAAGATGAAAGAGGAAGCCAACTTTTGGGGAATAACAAAAGGATGGAGTTATGTCTAATGTCAAAGGAGGGCAAATATGGGCATGTATACAAGCAACACTACAAAAAGGAATACGTAATTCAACAGTAAAAAATGAGATTGAAATAACCACATGGGTTAGAGCTGTGACAACACAACAGAAGGTTGATTGTCAATTGATAGACTATTACAGGATTGCATGATGTGTTTGCCTTTAGTAGGCAACTAAGGATCTATTCCACCATATTTGCAACAATAGAATGTCCAATGTCAAAAAAATAAAAAATAAAACTCCCAACTATTGATGATTACACTTGTAATCTTAGAACTATTAGATTATTGCCATGTGTTTATAAGCAATGGAAAGAAAACATAAGAGCGGTATGAATCACTATTAAAAATACATATCAAATTTCAAATGAATTGTCAGAATGAGACTGATAGCTTACCGTTACACCATCATCACGAGCTGTTCCAGTGGAATTTATATAGAGATAAATTGGTGCTTTAGGATCCTTCCACTGCAGATACATCAGTTGTGCAATAACTAGCTCTGTGACTGCAGGCACCAGCTGATAGATATAAATGGTTCACTAGTTAAACAGACTTCAATAATAATTTAATGGCATGACCTACAGGCCATATAACTCTGTATAAGAATGCAGTGCTACTGCCACTAGGTTTGCTATATATATTTTACGAATAACCATTTCATTTCCAAGAGATCTGACTTCTGAACGATAATGAAATGAATAACTAACTTTTAGAGTTGGAATGTTCTTCTGAAAGAAAATGTAGAAGCAAAGATAAATTATATTTGACAAGAATCATTTTGGAAAATAAACAATTCTACATCATATGGGACCTACAAAATAACTCCTCAAACGATGCTCATTACATAAATGCAACAATTATTGCCACCTTCTAGTCCACACAATCACTTGGAACTGTGTTAGTCATGGTTTAATCCCTTCCTTAGCAGAGTGGTTAAGCCTATATCTTATGAAAGGTGCATGCAAAACCAAATTCTTTACATGTTAAAGTTGATCCTATTTCCTACTTCTCTCTGCAACAAGAGAAGAGGTGCCCCCACCCCACCCGCATCAGCATCTTATCCACTGGAATAATGAAGAGCATCCATAAACATGGAAAAAGTTAATCTGTATCAAAAACACTAACCGGCATGCCAATGTAAACAATTCCCTCATCAAGAAGTAATGATGGTAAGTCTGGCGGTGGGGATCGTGGCCTGCCCTCGTCATATGAAACCGACCTTTCCACCTAATTCAAGTAACAAGCATTGTTAAATGCAAACTTAATACCAAATAAACATGTCATAAAAAATCATTGAAATCAATATAAACTTCGTATGACAAAAAACACCAAAATCTAAAACCAAGAAAAAAAAGAAGACAAACGCATACTAACTATATTCTCCCTGCAAAGTCTTACTCACCTCTTATTTTCCATAGTATCAACCCTCAAATCCACAGATTACCAAAAAAAAAAATGAAAATTCATCAATCTCACGCAGTTCTTAATCTTTTCAATTTCCTACAACCAAGCAGGAACCATAAATTTCTACCTCCATATATACGAGATTTAGTAATTATCTTACTTGGGCAGGAGAAGCCATGAGCCTTGGAGAATCGAACAGGTCAAGAAACGGAGGCACATCGGAATCGACCGGGCGGTTAACCAAGGCTTCGGGGGAGGAAGCGGCAGCGGAAGTGAGTCTAGAAAGGAACGGGTCCTTAGGGTTCACCGGAGGTAAGGGGATTTTAGCTGAGTTGTTGGCACCGAAAGCACGGCAATCAAACTTCAGACGGCTTGTTCTCCGGACAGATTCCGATAAAGAAGAAGAGTACCGGACTGAGTAAGCCATCGGCGCTTGCAAAAAAGTGGCCATAATTTTTTCCGGCGAGTTCTGAAGTGTTTTGGAAATTGGAAGAGTTAAGAAGTAACACTCTGTTTATGTTGTTGTCCAGGATTGAGATCCGGATGAGGTGGGTAAGTGGGTCGGGTCATCAAACAGTTGGGTTGGGTCGGTTTGTCCGGTGTTAGTTGGGTTATACTTATTTGGATTAATTGGATTGGGTCGTCCAATGTTGGGTCTGTCCCGCAAAAGTTCAAAATCTAATTAATTTGAAATTGAATTGCGTTAAATTTTATAAAAATTTATTCTTTTAATATTTATCTCTTTATTAATAAGATTTAAATTTGAAACCTTCTTAAAAAAAGTCCAATTCCTTCTACCCTAACTAATAGGTAATTGGTTCCAAGTCTATTATGATATATAGATAGACTCCATATTTGATTTAGGTTTGTTCATTTTTTGTTGCGTTGTATTGTGCTACGCTGTTTAAAAGGGAGCAAATAGGTGATTGGGACCCATTTGGTCATTTCTTTAGCAAAACAAACCAAATCGGTACTTTTTTTTATATATAATTAAATTCTTTTAAGAAGTAATAATATTAACTAATAAAAAAATCATATTTTTAATAAAAAAATTAAAAAAATTATGTTTTTATTGCACGGAATCTCTTTTGAGAGAATGTGAAGTTTTTTCGTTCCAATGAAAAATCTGTCAAAGACTACTAGCAAAAGCAACCATACAATGGAGCAATAAAGATTCTGAAGATCGAACATACATTTTTGCTTGTGCTGTAAGTCTGTAACAAGCCCTTGGAATTTAACATTTCATGTGACATGAAATGAAGAGAAAGAAGAAAAGATCTATTATATTTCATTTGCATAATAGTTTCGTTGTTCATACGATATGGTAGGTGATCATTATAACTATAGAAATTAATTGCCCAACAATCAAACTATGCAGTGTTTTTATTTTTTATTCTAGAAAAAATAAACCACTGAATCCATTTCTTTAACTTGACAATTTCTGTTCTT